TTTTAGAATAATGGCAATCATTCTTCGATTTCTTAGTTATTTTGTGTTGAGTTCTTGGTTAGAATGTGCCCACATACTTGAAAGCTCCTCTAAGCAAAATGCATCAAAATGACTCTATATATACTACTTGAGTATTTTTTTTTATAAAGCAACTTATAAACACCTTTACATACATACATGCAAACATCTATTCTTTCATCTTCTGAAAATAAATGTTCTAAATACTTCATCAAATTTAGAGCACCAAGTACTAATAATAGACCTTCCTTATAAATATAAATTATATGCAGAGAATCATTTAGCGAATCGTTTCTATGCTAAATCCATTTCACTTTGAGGATCCAAAATAGATTTCTGCAAACAAATTTATAGCCGTTTTAATACGAGTATAAGAGAATTGTAGATGTCATAAATTAGATGTTATTACTTTTTCAACAACACGTTTTCGTGGGTTAGGAATGCTATAAATTGTCACGTCAACTGTCAGGACTTGGATAGATCTAATGTTAGAAATATTAAAGAAGATCGCGCTGGTATAAATGCTCTTGTTGTTGTTTTACTTGTTGCTTTAAATATTGTATTCGACTATCCTGAATTATGCATGGTAAAAATGCACGCAAACATAATAAATTGTCAAAATACAAAACTCCATATGCCAAACATATACATACAAGTATATATGTATAACGTGAAGAAATTAATCAAACATACCAATAAACACAATAAACATTAAAACACACCGAGAATGGCATATTGACAGCAAACACGCATTTTTTCTAATTGTGATGTTGAAGTTGGCCTAATGGAGCGGAACTGTAGGATTGCATATACTATTTTCGTGTTTACATCATTAACTGATGCCTACCAACAATTTTAAACTATTTTTAAGCCACCTCTGAATTACGGTTGGATTTTGGTCGAAATTTTTCTCTCAAGTCATACGTACACTCGAAGTGTGCTTTTTCTACTTATAAACAAATCGTTTCTCTATAAAGTAAATAGAAATAAAAACATTGTTACTACTTGTCAGTAATTTTAGTTTTGCTGTGAGCAGTATTCGGCACATTGACATCATAATTCTTGAACAACTTTTAATTCTTGAAAGTGAAAATAATCTTCGCAATTATCATATGATTATTAATGAATTTTGAATTTGCTGTTGCTTTTGAGTTTGCAAAAATTGGCAAACTTGTGAAGGAATTCATTTTGACATTGACAGATGTTTCAAAATTCATATTCATCGGCATCATGACATATTTTTGAAAATACCATACCTTTCGCAATTACTGTCAAATTATTGTTGTTGGTATTTATTTCATTGCCATCTGTGAGTGCATGTTTTGTGCAAATTTACAAATATACCATTAGCGAAATGAATATTTAGCAACAATTATGTGGTCAACGACTTATCAGTGAGTGACGTTATCACTTTCAATACTATTTTCAGACATTATATGTTTTATTGTTTATTATTTTGCTGCATTTTGTCAAATCCTTTTGCCATTCTTACTTCTGAATTCGGATTATAACCCCGCCCACTCCCCACATAACGATTTTCTCAAAAACTACGAGAAGTGCGATAAATCTATAACCAACTGCGCCAGAGACATACAATTTTACACCCGAAATTCGAACAATGGGTGTGGACCCGCCTACATTTAGTTAAAAACCCATATCTCAGGACCATATAACACAATTTTAAATTCCAACTAAGTATTTAACTTTCCAGTATACAAATCAAGAACCAATCAATGTATGCCTTTGAGGTGTGCCACCTTATGACCAATAATTTTTGAAGTCGGACCAAAACTATTCAGGCGCCCAGATACTGAATATGTGAACACCAGTTCCTATTCCGAACTTTTTACCGAAAATATCAGTCACCATGTCAGATATATTATTGAAATTCGAAAAGAATTTTCCCAGATTTTGATCCTTGCCTTGTTATTGATCAGAGGGAAATTTACATTTTCAATAATCGTATTTAATATTAAATTTTTAGTATTAACATATTTTCTGATTATTTACAATACCAAGGCCCATTCCCTCAAACCAGTCATCTTCATATATGTGTCATTGAACTAAATACATATATTGCAAAGAAACATTTTTGGAAGATACTGTGGATATACTGCTAATTTAATCCATGATATTGCGAAATATTGACGGGCCATATGAAAACGACAATAATGTTAATCATGAAAATCGAAAGAAAATACTTCACCTACGTTCATATACATACATATATTATATAAAGCATATCAAGGCAGTGGAATAATCGTCATTCCCTGAGCACCACATCGCAAATTGACGCAATTCACAACGGGTTCCAGCCGCCCGCAAAAAGCATAGACAAGTACAGTTGCTTGCTAACAATCATGGAGAAGGGAAGGACCTTACACAGCATTGAGTTGATTAGGGAAGGCGACATGTCGTCCAGTCTAATCGAGTACACAGCAGGTAATTCTATAATTATTAGTTGGAATGAAAATGACAAAACGTCAATAAAATTAAGCAGATCATTAATAACGTCATAGCACAAGAAAAAAACTGTTTATATATAATTAAGCAGGAGAACGGGGACCATGCAGCATCTAAATATTGAATTTTTTTTAGATTTTTGCCAATATCCCATCCTTTTTGTTGCATTTAGTTTTTATTTTAAAACATATTTAGCACTAGCTGTACGCGGTGTGTCGTGCTACTCCCCTTTTAATGCTCTCAACAGGTTGCAACGTAGTTTAATATTTTTGTTCACCTAACGGTTGTTTGTATCACCTAAAACAAATCCAGATATGTAAATATGGAATTATATATGTATTTACATATATAAACGATCAGGTTGACGGGGCGAGTTCAAATCCGGGTGACAGTCTGTCCATCCAATTGAAATCCAATTTCAATAATTGAGCAATTTCAATGAAATTAGGCATATAATAATTTGTAAAGTAAAAAAACTTACTTCCCTGGAGTATAGCAGCTAACTTCGCATTATTATTATATTATAGATTATGAACCACAATCAACTAGTTAGCCGATTAAATTCGTCATACAAGCAACTAGAATATCTCAAATGCAAAATGCAAATGCAAATCTCATTCAGAGGTCTCGTAACAGTTTAAAAAATATACTAAATAAATACTTTGGGTGTGGAACAAAAGCACTGGTGTTATAATATAGCATATTAGAACAGCAATCCATAATTGGAATAAGTCTTTTGATATTGTATCTAGTTGGATTTCAGAGAGGAATTTCATGTTGTAAACTGGTATAGCAACCTGGTAAGAGCAGACTGACGGCAGGGCACATACAAGAACACATAAACACATGTATGCTTATTTGTAGATACTAACGACTTACATCTATTTTGACCATTGCAATGTAAGCAATTATTATTTAAGTATGTGCATACATATGCAAATAATATATGACGCATTTTGTGTTTATCATTTAATATGTCTTGAATACATACTCGTACTAGCTGAACGGTGCTCTTATTATCTCTTATATGGAAGCAAATGGCTGAAGTATGTGCGACACCCCGTGAGAAACAAAACAAAAAAAAAAAAAAAATACAAATACAACCCAGTAAACACAATTAGAAATGTTAGAGAAATTTAGGTCATTACATAATAATAACTAGCGTAGTCCGCAAAGTAACTATATAGGTCTACGCTAGTATACCACTGATCAGATAAATATATAATAGCTGTATTCGATTCGTCATTTCTCTGCTCGACATCATTGTGCGTTGCTCTCTAATCAGAAAAATTACATGATACCAACACTAAAGTTATCGAGAAGAATTCGCACAAGAGAGTAAAGTGAAATAACCGCTATCTTCAATGCTACCAAGTTTTATTTTGTATATTTTAGGCTAGTTTTAGCTAGTGAATGGCTCAAATTACAAATTATTCGAGAAAATGAAAATACAAAGATTCTTTTTTTTGGGATTTTTAAAAACTTTAGGCTAAATAAATTATAATTGTGCAAAGAAAACTAAACTAGGAAGTTACTGAAAGAAACCGTTTTGCACGCGGAGAGAAGAATTTCTCCACCATGAATTCATATTATGTTAGTGCAGGGTTAGGCGTTCTCTAACATCAGAGATTACAGTTAGCGTCTAGTTTCCTAATCGGTTCTTGCACGATAACCAAATCTAGTGTTTGTTGGGAATAATCAAAATATATTATAAAACAACAACGTTGAGATAACAAGAAAACAGTCACTGTTACAATCAAATGTATGTTGGTATTTGTGTGTGTCTCGTATATTGAAGTAGTAGTGCTTCTTATCAAGAGATACACGTTCAATCTTTGGACAACAAAAAAAACAAAATTATTTTCTAACAACAACATGGCAGTAAATAGACGATAATAACTGCAAATAGCACGACAAAACACGGTAGCTGACCACCGATCACGCACTGGTAAACTCGAATGTGTAAATGCACATACATATGTATGAGCGTATATGCATACAAATGACAGTTTAGTTAAAGCCATCAACTGACCAATCAGCGCAAGAGTTTCACCAGCCGCAACATATGTATGTGTATATATGTGTTCACATATGTTCATAGATAAGTGCGCATATAATTATAACTGTAAACATTTTATTTTATTCGTTTATGCTTTTCAAATAGTTACTTTCCGTTCCAACTGTACACCATCTTACCTACGCATAAATACTTACATACCTGCATTGCCCCTTTGGCGCACCAAGCAAGTATATCCAAAATAAAATGGCGCAGTTAGCGAAACATTATTCTCGTATAATCGTACCTAACCACGTTTAAATATTAGCAGCGTAAATGTAAATAATGTGTAGAAGAAAAGTGAAAACTTGGTAATCTGAGTTTGGTGGCAGATGCTAAACCCCAGTAGTGTGAATTTTATGTGCTAACTGTTGATATTACATCAGCTATTCCATAAATACCATACATACATATGTATTTATGTATGTACTTGTAGTGGAGGTAATTGCTTCTTAAAACTTACCAGTCTCATTGCGGCCCAAAGCCACCGGTGATGTGCGGATAGCATTGCGGCTAGACGCTGCGGCAGCTGAAGATGTCGCAATAACGTGTGTTGTCTGTGCATTTATCGATGGTAGAAATAGTGATAGGAACGACAGAATTAGTAGTAACTTATACAAATATGTTAGATTTGGCATTTTGAAGTAACGCAAATGTTGCAGTTGCAATTGTAGTGTTGCGATATTGCTCGATTTGTGGTGACTGTGCTGTCGATGTGATGCTGTTGTTGGCGTTAGCACTGACGTTGACGATGGTAATATTAAGTTATAGTGATGTACATGTTGTTGTAATATCTGTGATTTATGTTGTACTGTACGGTGGTTAATGTGATGTTGCGGTTGCGAGCATACAAGTATATCGTTACTTAAATATCTATTATTACAGCTATTCTTGTTGGCGTTAGCATTGGCGTATTGTTGTTGCTCTGTTCGTGATGTATTAAATATATTTGCATAATTATTGTTACTATTGACTATATCCATTAGAAAATTATTTCTATTATTATTATTGTAGTAGGAATTACAGCGAATTTGTTGCATCAGTCTTGAGAGTGGAGGACGTTGTTGTTGTTGCGGCTGCTCTTGCCATGCCAGCATTTGCAGTTGTGCTTTTTCATTTTCATGTCTTTTATTTGATTTCGTATTCGTATTACAGTTTCTATTATTTCTATTGCTAATATTACTATTTGTCGTATATTCTTTGTTGTTGTTGCTGCTATTGCTATTACTATGGTTTTTGTAAAGAAAACTATGGATTTTTTCGTGAACCGGATGCAAAAATTGTACTTGTATGCACAATAATAAAAACTGAAATGAGCGCAATGCTCTCTCGAAGAGCGCAGTCGAATTTATACTTGTGGTTGTTGCTGTTGTAGCAACCGGGCTTTGATGTTGCTCGATGCAATTTGTACAGGCGCTATGAACTAATGATGATGGTGCCGAAGTGATCGCAGCTTTAGTTGTTGTCAACTCTAAAGTTTTTGTTGTTGTATTTCGTATTGGCGTTGCATGTAATGTTCTTGAACATTGGTGCATTTTCGTTGTTTCCTTTAACAAATGAGCTACCCTAACAGGTGTACTCATCACAGTTGCTGATGCAGGTGACATATCGCTGGTGTGAAAGCAACTCTTGGTGCACCTATGTCGCTGTTGCCGTCGGCAGTTGCAACACACAAACGCAGACACACTTGACTCCTCAAATTGCGCGAATCGCTGCACTTGTTGCCGGGCCAGTGGTTTTAGCATATTTCCATTATCGTTAACTAGCTTTGTTGTTAGTGTTGTTGCAGGCGGCACATCCATTAAGCGATGTCTACAACTGCCTGCGCTTATGGCGTTGCATGTGCAAGCGTTAACCTGCAAAAATGGTAATTGCTGATCGATGCAATCGGTATCAGCTTCGCATGTTGTTGCACTGGTGGCTGTTGGTGAGTTAACCGTTGTACATCTGCTGTGCGAATTTTTGAGCGGCGTTCCTTGTCGCCCAATGTTGCCATTAAAATTTGCTATTTTTGTAGGTGAGTAATTGCTGCAACAACGTGTGCAACACTCCTCCACTCGTTGACGGCAGATGATACAAACGCTCCGACAGTTGGCTTCGATCTTCATTGCCAACGTCATGTCGCCAGCAGCACGCCACTTCTGCACTCCCCCTCCCGTATCCGTGGAGTTTTGTGTACGCTGCGCCGCTGCTGCCGCCGCCGACCAACGTCGACCGCGTTCTGCACGCAGCGCATTGTTGTCAAGCCGTAACCTCGGCATATCGACGCGATTGCCACTGTGGTTGTGGTCGTTGTCCGCACTCAAAATCAATCGCTCACAATTAACATCCATTTTGGCTAATTACTTTTGGACTAACTTTGGACATTGACTTAGATTTCCCCTTTTTGGCTCTTGAAAATCTAGGGGAATTCCGTGTATTAGTATTTTTACTTTTTTTAATTCAGTGCTTTAATGTTTCTTGGGAAACTCAGAGTGTTCTGAAATAGTCTGTATTCTCGTTAATTTATAAATTTTGAGGTTGGTTTTCACTCTTCGCGTTACATCAAGTTCCGTTCAATGGCATCTTCGTATTCGTCACTTTGATTTTTGAATGGATTTCAGCATTTTTTGCACAGACAATGAGGTCAACTATAAAAAAGTAAGAAGTTTGAAGAACACATTAGTTTAAATTAAGATATTAAGTAAAATTATTGCTGAGTAATTTGAAAAAATTGTGTAGGAAATTTGGTATACTTGGATATTTGGTTACTATTAAACATTCTCATACGACTCGTTCTTAAATTAATACAATAGTTCATTTTGATTGCGTACGTTCTATTCTTCTTCCGATTTCGACTTAATGTATTTTTTATTTGATCTCCAATTTGTTGACCGGCGGAGCAAAGTTTTCAGCCATAAACGGCTATGTAGCCTTATAGTCAATTTTTTCAATAATTTTGGATAATGTAATGCTGTTTCTGACAATAATCTGATACTAACATGGACGAGTATTATGAGAACTCCCCTAGTCTAATACTCAATATAATCGATATTCTTGTTAATTTTGTGATGAATACACAATATCAGTTAATGTCTGCGATATCTTAATAAAAATCGATGCGTTGAAAAATTTTCCTGAGCTAGCCTCAATATATCCAGTGTAGTGATTTTTGACTTTCTAGCTGACTTTGTACCTTATATGTTTCTATATCGGCTAATTTTTCAACATTTTAATGCAATTAAGTGAATATTGCTTTGACCACTATATGGTTTAGCGTCAATAACAGATTTATTCGATGCACATCTTGATCTAGCGCTCATATAGGTTGACTAAATACCGAATATATCTTTTAACATGTGCGCTATATGACATTGAACACATTATTTCATACATAATATAGCTTGGTGCTCGGTACTCACATTTACCTAAGCCCCCTACTTCCGATTTGTAATCGATTCATAATTCGTCTTGTTGTTGTTGTTATAGCAGTTATCTAATCATCGCTTGGATGGTAAGGTTGTAATCGAAGTCATCTAACGGCAGTCCCATAAAACCTGCAGTTACGACGGGATCAAACCATGGGAAGAGGGGCGTTAGATGAGTGATATTTATTGGGCATGCAAAGAGATGATTAGAGCTTGGCGAGGGCTCATTGCACGCAGCACATATGGTCTAATGGTGAATTTGTATGCAACTTTTTCAAAGCAAAGTTTTGCCAAAACCTGCAGCAAAATATACGGCTTCACCCGAACTGACCTCCCCCTTACAAATTTTTTATGTTATAGTTATTCGTTATATATATATAAAGTGTGCATATACATATAAGCATAGACAAAGGGGGATATTTAGCTCACTCTTAGTTAGGATTCCATAAATACGGATGGATATTCAGCACGATTGTTTGCTTGACTTGACTTTGCCCACCCTTCGTCTCGGCCGCATTGCATAGTATGTTCAATAACAACAATGTCATCAATCACTCTGACTATCGCATCAACTGTCAAAACAATTGCATCAATGGCGGCAATGACAGTTTTGTCGGTAGTTGCAAAAACATTGCAATCTCAAGGAGGAAGCAACGAAAATCGCATTTGTGTACCAAAAAAAGTGCTAGGTGTTGTGGTTTCGAATCGGTGGTCCTGTATGGACTGAGGGTTTTGCGTACTGGACATTGATGTCTATGAAAGACCTAGGTCTGAGAATCCGCAACGAACTACTAAGTATATTGGGTAGTTATATTGGGTTAGATATTGAGGGGCTGCAAGCACCAAAAACAACATAATATCAAAGGCCAATCAAAGGTGGCAAGTAGGTAAATTAACGCTTATTAAGTAATGCTCTATAGCACACACATTTAAAAACAGTATACCTGTGTATACACATTAATAATTATCATGTCGGTTTGGAATGTTTTTGCATAAGCTGCATTCAGTGATGCTATAAGAGAGTGCTTCTGATGTTTTACCGTTGCGCATCGAAGAAAACAATCAAAGCAACAATTTTTATTGCTACTATTGTATTGCTTTTGTCTCTCTCGTCGCTATTATGCGCCCAGCACTATACTGACACAGTTTCGCTGCTGCTTTTCCCAAATCCATTCGAGCGTTCCGATGGCACCGAGTTACACTCTAGAGCTGGTTGTGCTTTAGTATGCTACTGCCGCGTCAGTGAGAATACCTCTCCATCGCTCCAAATTGCACATACACCGTCAGACGTTTATCGTTAAACTTTTATGGTTGTTGCAGTTGTTGCTAGCTACCCATAAATTATCAACGTCTATTTTTTTGTTGCGATTAAAGGGTTGGTGCTGTTGACGCCTTATGACACCCGACACTTTTGCGCAATGCGAGATGTAGCAGTAGCAGCAACAAATACTTGAGATGACCTGCTTTAACGCCTTCAAAAACAACCATATGTAATTGCAGCGGTAAATAATCGATATATGGTGGTGGGGTGTGGTGCATGCGGCGTCACTACAACACACCTTCCAACCTACCCATGTAACCCACCAATGATATATACTATATATGTTTATATATGTATGATAGGCTCATAACCCAGTTAACTGATCTAAGTGTAAAACAATTCTTTGAGGGCAACAAAGATCTCCCCATACCAATTAATACTGTACGCATGCATGTCGCCTGATGCAATTCGACCACTTACGAGTGAGTGTGCATACATTGATGCCTATGCACACATTTATCGACTGCGTAGCTTCAACGTTGGCGCAAGGCAGTAGAAAAGAAACCTTACACAGTCAAACCTATCTACTTGACTGCAGGTGAGAAGTGGTCTTTATATGGCAGTGCAGTGCACTTCTATGTTGTAATTACCCCGCAGTAGTAAATACATAGTTCGAAAAAGGCCCTACTTCTACTGACTGCACTACGGCATTAACTGACTTCAAAGATTTTGTATATTGAAGTACGAAAAATCTTTTATTTCAGATTTTTTTAAAACTATCAAAGTGAGTACGATATTACCGCCTGGCTTTTGGATGTTGCTCGCAAATGGAGGGATAGAATTTCGTAGGACATCGCGGCTAATACTGGTTCGAAGGCAGTTTACAACTAAGCCTTTTCACTGCAGGGTATATATGGAAGCTATTATGCATGTGTTGCATGTGTACGTGACGCGTCGATTTCAATGACCTAAATTCAGCTGTTTTGCCCCAGACAGTGCAGACTACATACCTATGTACTCGTATGTATGTATGCGCCAACACAGCCGGCAGCAGCAACAACAACTTTTACGTACACATATGCATAGGTTTTGAACATATACCGATACACATGGCTGCGTTGACAATTAAAATTTATTCGTGATAAAACTGATAAAATTCTCTCAAATCTTTTACCTTCCTTCGATGTTCTGTCAAAATTTTACCAAAACAAATTTCACAGTCATAACTACGTATGTATATTAAGACTAGCCGTATTTGAGACCGGTATACCATAATCAAACCGAAGCTACTTTCGAATCGCCAAATCTCGTAAGAGAGTACTTAAGTGGTAAATAGCGAAGCGAGCAGGATTAAAGAAATAAATAACTCAATTGCTATATTTATGTAGGGACATACATTTATTTATGCGAAAAAAATGAACATGTATCACATATCTGGGGTATGATTTTGTTACAGATTGTTGTAAGCTGGTGGTCATTGACATGGTACAAAGGGTTTGTGTGGGTTCCAGTTATAACGCGGCATAGCTGGCGCGATTAGTTTGCGATGTTGGACGAAAAATATGAGAAGCTTATTGCAATGGCGGCTGAAAAAAATATACAATTTCGATGCGCATGATCACACACACATACATCTATATAGTGCAAGAAGCTATGTACACAGATAAAGTAAAATGTGATTGTTTGAGTCTACAACTACAATACAGTATTTTTTTTTGATATTTCCCATTTATTCAGGTAAACTAAATTATATTTTATCCAAATATTTTCATTGTTTGCGATGCTGTGTGGATAATGAATTAAACACAAACAAACTGCAGTGCTGCTTTGGACCTAAAAGTGATAAGGCCTTAGACTGAAAACTGCTTAAGCCTCGTAAATTTTCGTTTAATCATCAACGATTTAAGAAGTTGATGCAGGTATCCATATTCTGTATTTAATTAAATGAATATTCGTGGGCTTAAAAGTAACAAAAAAAACGTGTGTCATCTTTAGACATTCTTACAAAATAAGCAAATATTATAAATATACATACTTGTATTACAATTAATGAAGGTAAATAGAGGCTGTATTTTGTACCCTGAAGCAGCTGTGGCATGCTTTTTTAGTTTAACATAGTAAAAACTTTCAACTGAAATTCGGTCATTGCCTCAGTTAGGGTGTCAATTTACACCATAGGAAGTTGAATTTTGTATGAATTGCAGTCGTCTTTAATTCGCACAAGTTATTTGCATATATATGTACATACATACAAGGTGCGCTCCAAGGTAAATAGTACAAAAGTAACAAAGTAAACTCTAGTGGCGCCATCTATATGTCGACTAGTGCGTTAGAATCTGCTATCCGTTATCGACTTCCAATAAATATCATGACATTTCATCTGTTGGAAGTGTCGTTATTGCGTTTTAAGTGTCAGTATGTTTTTGTCATCGGTGCGAAAATGAGCTTCGAACAAAGAGCCAACATTAAATTTTGTTTTAAAATTGGTAAAACTTTTACCGAAACGTTTCAATTGATGAAACAAGTTTATGGCGATAATTGCCTATCCCGTAGCAGAGTGCACGAGTGGTTTCAATGATTTCAAAGTGGTCGGTAGGACATAAATGACGATGAACCGAAACCCAAAAAATCGCGCCTGGAGAAGTCAAAAGTAAAGACAATGCAGATTTGTTTTTATCACTCTAAGGGTATTGTCCACAAAGATTTTGTTCCACCCGGCCAAAATGTTAGTGCGGTATTCGACGTGTTCGGCCCGAATATCGCGAAGATGGAAGTTGACCAAAAATCACATTTTAACAATCAACCACTTCCCGTATTCACCTGATATGGCACCGTGCGACTTTTACCTTTACGGAAAAATGCATTCAAGGCCATTCAAAAGGCTTGCACCGGCATACTGGCGGCCATACCGGGCAACGAGCTAAAACACTCGTTCGACATGCTTTTGGACCGTGCAAAAAGC